ACTCTTTTTATTGAGGTATAATTTATATAACCATAAAATTCACTCATTTTAAGTATACAATTCAATATTTTTCAGTATATTTACAAAGTTGCATAACTATCACAATCTAATTTCTTTTTTTTCTTTCCTTTTTCTGTGTCCGGCAACGGATCGCAACTCTCAGTGTTGCCCCCGTACCGGACTGGGACCGGCAACGGGATCGCAACCCTCAGTGTTGCTCCCACACCTCGCTCAGCCAGTGAGCGGGAACCGGTCTGTATGTGGGATCCGAACCCTCGGCGGGAGCACCACCACGCTCCCAAGCGGCGCACTGTAGCAGTGCGCCACCGGGCCGGCCCTAATTTCTGCACATCTAAATTACCCCCTCCCCCCCAAATTTTTAAAAAACAAAAAACGAAACCCAAACAAACAAACCTAGTTTGTTCTTAACGAGAAAAGAATCAACACCCAAAGCTATTTTACTAATGTGAGATATTTGATTGAGGAACTTACGGAAAATCTATGGCCTGTTGAACCTGTGTAGTATTAACTTGAAAAATTAAATAGACATTTAAAGAACAAATAAAATAGATTCCAGACGTGACCAATTTTGCAAACTCTATTTGTGGTATCAGATCAGCATCTTCAGGTTGTACTCAAAAATAAATTAAAATGTTATTTCTTGATATCCACAGGAATAAAACAGTTATTCCAACTCAGTAGATCTAAGAGTTTCTATTAATACTTCCAAAAGATAGCTATAATGTCAAAATCATAAACCTAAAATGCTTTAAACCAACTCACTGCAAAGTTATGGTGACAAATTTCAAAATAAAGTAATATTTTCATTTCATGACCAGAAGATTTTTAAAGAATGGTTAATGGCATAAATATTGTTTATAACATGAATAAGTCCAAATATCAATTAAATTAGTTATTTCTTTTATCCAGCTATTGAAGATTTAAATTTCTGTTTTACCTCAGATATCTGCTCTTACATGGGAGAACCAATTGAAATAGCCTTTTAAATCAGAATGAAACCTTTAGAATAAGAAACCACTAATCTGTTCAAAATGGTAAGCATGAGAGTATATGCATAGTTTTCATTATGCAGATATAATTTAAATAGATAACATTTTATTAAAACTGGCATGTAAATAAAGAATAGATTAGCGTGTGCCCAGGAATTTGGGATACTAGTTGGCTTTAGACAACCAGCCAAAGACCAAGAGGACCTCGTTATGAGCCTATCATGATGCTCACACAACTTGGTAGTCTAGTGCAGGTCTAGTTTTATTACGATGATAACACAGCACTTGGCAACATCTACAGCAGTTCAGCAGCAAGAATTTTTCAAAAGGTTGAGAAAGTCCCCAATTTCTGAAACTTCCTTCAGTAATAAGATTTTTCTGAATGTTTAGAATGCCTCCAATTTCTAAAACTTCCTTCCCAATTACTATTTCCCAAAACATATTTACCAGAAGTAGGAGGAGGGCATCTCAGATGCCAGTAAGAAATAAGTGAAAACTGCTTTAAGCCAAGCTACAAGTTCACAATTATCACGGTTATGCCATTTCTTTTGAAATCCTCATGAAATCTGCCAAGTACTTATTCCAATACTATGGAAATTAATATGGTCACAAAATTACTGATGAACTTAAATTTCCCTCATGCAAATTTAAATGCAGACTTGTCATACTCATGAATTACAAAGATCATATTTTATGTAGTAAAAAATTGGTTAACATTATGTGAGACAGTGCAGCCAGCTCCTTCATTATTCCTAATTACCATGTAGGTAATGATCATAAGCATTTATGACACACACACACACACACACACACACAAATGTAAGAAATATCCTATACCTCATTTAGACCAATATTTTCACTCTCCTTCTCTAGATCTTTCTACAGAGTTGTCTGCCTTAGAACAGTCTTAACTGATTTACAATTTATCTCCTTTGATTTCTCCTGCCAAATCTCTGGAGATGTTAATGAATATAGTAATGGTTTAATGGGTGACAGGAGAAATAACAACGAAAAGTTAAAGGTGTTAATAATCAACAAGCTGTAAAAATCGAGTTCTGTGAGGCAAAGTTAACTAAATATTTGAATGAAACACTCCATTTATGCAGTCACATTGTTCCATCAGTGAAGATAAAAACAAAACATACCTGCTTGACCAGTGGTGATACTGACAGCGGCAAAGAGCCTCTGGGATCGGCTTAAGTCAGAAACTCCATTTACAGCTTCAACTTCAAAAGTATAATTAGCGTGGGCTAGCAGGTCCATGACAGTGACATAGTTATCCTCTAATCCAGTCTGCTGGGGCATGTATCCAATGTTACTCCCACAGGGAACACACTCGCCCTGCTCCCAACTGCACCGCTTACACAATATTCTGTAGGTCACATCATTTCTTCCCCCATTGTCAGCAGGAGGACTCCATTCCAAACTTACTGTGGTTTGGTTGATGTTGAAAATGAGGTTCTGTGGTGCAGATGGAGGCCCTTTGGAAACCAAAAATAAATAAACAAATAAACAAAAATGAAAAAAAAAATACAAACATTTAGGATAAAAGGATCTGTGTGAGGCATTAAGCTAGAGGCTCAATTACCAAAGAGAAAACTAATTGAAATGCTTTCTTTCACATAAACATTTCATTACCTTTACTAGAGAAGCCTTATAAAAGCCTCCCTGAATTCACTTGGCAAAAGGCTTTATTTATTTTCCATTTAATATGTCAAAACGAAAACAGGATAACAACTGTCTTTGTACTTTTGCCACAGTCTTTAGCTATTTTTCTTCCAAGCAATTAAAAAAGAACAGTTAATGCACCTAAAAACAACAGTTGTTCATTTATTTAAAAATAGTTTTCCTTTTACCCATATAACAGAGAATACATTTATTCACTTTTAATGTAGTCAGGAATGATTTACAGTAATGTCTGGGATTGGCTTTGGATTTGGGTCTCTCAAACATTTATTAATTGAAGCACCAAAGATATGAGATTTGCTCTATTTAGTGATCAAATTTTAATTCAGAAACCATTACCTTTTAGTCACATTTCATATCCATGTAAGACTCTAATAACTTTAAATTTTATTTATGATTCCTATGACATACATGTAAAAACATTATTAAAATGGATCTTAATTTTGCAGACATAAAAATTACACTGAAGATGATATATCTATTTTATATTATTGTTTAACTTTATCTGTTAACGGAAAAATTTAAGAATATTTGAGAATAATTTTAGAATGTATTCACAAATTCAATACCTATCTCAGTGATGTCACAATGGTATAAATGAATGGAAGTGATCTGAAAGTCCTTTACTTTCATATTATAAACTTACTTGTGCAGGCAACATACGGTGGGTCAGATGGAGCCCTGTAATACCCATCTTCACATTCACATCTTGAGGAGCCTTCTTTATCAGAGGAACTGTGAGTTGGACACCGAGAGCACTGAAGATCTTGAGAGGAAGATTTGTAGAATCCACGGCCACAGGCTGGGTATGCAAAAGAAAGTAAAAATAGGAACATAAGAGCAAATAGGCCTTCTTTAAAAAAAACTTTGGGGGGGGGTTAGTATTTAACAAAGAATAAAATATTAGGGCCGGCCCGGTGGCGCACTGGATAGTGCGCCGCTTGGGAAGCGCGGCGGCGCTCCCGTCCGAGGGTTCGGATCCC